CCTTAATTTAATAGTTTGTAATTTGGACAAGTTAACGCAATTTATTTACCTTAAAAAATGTTATTCTGTTTTCATTGTTTAGAATAGTCATAAATTTGGAGCCGATATCAACATACAAGGCATTTCTTGGATTCTCATCATTGGGAACCTCTCTGAGAATGTCTACCACTACAAGTCTGCGTAATAGAAGTTCACCTTGCTCTGATGTTTCCATAAAACAACCATAACCAGGTAACTCATTGTACTTTTTCTTTATAATTTCAGAGGTTTTCTTACCAGTGATAATGTTTGCCAGCTGCTTGACAGTTAACCTCTTCCCATTGTAGTCATTTTTTAGTTTCTGAATGCAGTTAGCAATTGATAAAGTATAATTAGTAATATCCAACTCCTTTGTATTACACTGTGTTGTGCAAACATCACACTGACAATTGCAATCTTTTAAAGGACTCTGCCCAAAATAATTTAAAAGTACACGTTTTCTGCAGAGATGTTTATTAAGGCAATAGCTCATGAGTGCTTGGAAGTTCTTAAGTCTTGCACTTAAAGCTGCACTGTCTTTATTGTATTTGGCAAAAATACGCTGCACATGACATATTTGATCTGTTGCACTAAAAAACAATACACATTTGCATTGTAGACCATCACGCCCACCACGTCCAATTTGTTGGTAGTAATCTTCCATAGACGCAGGGAGTGAATAATGAATAACAGCTCGTACATTTGATTTGTTTACACCCATACCAAATGCACTTGTACAACATAGCACTTGCAAGTCTCCTGCCATCCACTGAGTGTAAAGGGAAGAATGCAACTGTTTAGACATTGACCCATGGTATGCCTTTGACATGATGCTGTGAGACTCCAGTTTTGCTGATAATTCTTCACACTCTGTTCGAGATGAACAATACACAAGTGAGCATGATAGTGGTTTAACTATATCAACAATATCTGCTACTGTTTTTGATGACTTCTGTTGGACCAAATAAACCAGGTTAGGTCGATCAAAATCAGATGTAATCACTTCTACATCTGTTAATCCAAGAATTGCCACCACTTCACTTACAACTTCGGTTGTTGCAGATGCAGTTAGCATTAAAACTGGTGTTTTGGGGTAGTCATAAAAAATTAATTTAACATCAGTGTATGATGGCCTGAAGTCATGACCCCACTGGCTAACGCAGTGAGCCTCATCAATGACAAACTGCTGAATGGCTCCAGTTGAATGCAAAGAGAGTAAAATATCACGAAGCAATTTATCAGTTGTGATTACCTCAGGTGTGGTATATAACACCTTGAATGGACATTGTGGCTGCTTGAGACCACAATATACTTTCTGTTTTTCAGTATTAGTCATTTCCCCCATTATAAAGGCTGAGCATATACCGAGAGAAGTGCATCTGGAAATTTGATCTTCAATCAGTGATCTAAGCGGTGAAATAATAATAGATAAACCATGTTGTGCCAATGCTGGTAGGAGATATATCATAGACTTTCCCCCTCCGGTGGGCATCACAACAAATGTATTCTTTTTTTGCAGGCATGAATTAATAGCTTGTTTTTGTTTCAGCTGAAATGATGAATGGCCAAAGATTGCTTCCATTAGAGGAAGTAGTTGCTCGGCCTGTGTTACAGGCATTGTTAACTGTTTAAGAACTGTTTCTGTAGCTGCCACAAGAGACTCAGAGCTGATACATACAGATGAAAACGGGTCACTCACATCATCAACATCATCACGTCTTTCCTCTGGTATACCAAACTCAGTGCTTGTAGCAATATCTGAAAGTCCTGTATTATTTTCAAACCATCCCATGTTAACAGTTGTTCTCTTTGTTTGGATTTCAGGAAGATATTTATCTTGTTGCTCGTCAAATTCTTTCCAAGCTTCATATACTACAGTCTCATTGGGTGTTTTCACAGTTATTTCTCTGTATGGCTCTTCAGAATATTGTTTCAATTTCCCTTGTTCCAGTAATATGCATGCAACTTTCAATGCAGCTATTTCCGAGCTTGTAGATTGGAGTTGAAAGTCTTGTTCACATGAACTCAAATTATAAATGTTACCATCAACCTCAAAAGAAAAAAATGATAAAATATATTTATCAGGGTTTTTTTCAGGATTTTTTTTTGGGTCCGTTTTTGCAGAGAAGATTGAGTTTAGCTGAACAGCTGGGGTGGCTGCACCCCCCCCCCCACCCCTACCGGGGAGCTGACACCTGTACTCAATAAATGTAGTTGAGACGGCGAATGCATAGTTTTTCTTGTGTTGTGAGATGAATTCCAGCCATTTTTTCTTAATTGTTGGGCTTGCAACTGAAAACTAATTTCCACACATACAAAATTTAACTCAAACAACTTCATTTTTACTGCACTGAAACTTTGGTGAGAAGATTGAGTTTCAAAACTCAATTTAAGATTGAGTTTTTGGGGCAGTTTTATTAATGGCCCTAAAAAAATCCCTGAAAAAAATCCTGATTTATAGTTTTAAAGGACCAGTCATTATTAATGCTGGGTAGGGGGCCGGAGGAAATTTAGAGGGGCCACAAAAAATTTTTGACCAGCGAGGGGGGGGGGAGAAAATATTTTGAACATAAAGGGGGGGGGCAAAAAATAAAATCTATGGAATAGTTTGTAACATGTAATATCAAAAGAGTTATGGATATATACAGTATACATACATACATTGAACAGTAATGCCCAATATATCGGAACCTAAAGTTGTGTTCTAGCTACTGTATATGGAAATTGTCATCCTCATCATCACCGTAGAATTTGTCTAGAGGGTCGTGATATGCATTTGCAAATGCAAGAATTAATTGACAGTTGTTGCCCTGTTTTACACTTTTTAACACAGTGGACCTCTTTGGCATGTTCTGTTTCTGCATGTTGTTGACAGTCTCCTCTGCCATCTCTTCAATATAATGCTTCCACCAGACACAAATGTATTTTTTTCAATTAGTGCAAGACTAGGCCTGATGTGTGGGTTTTTTGTTTGAGGGCCAACAACTTTTCAGGTATAAAGTCTGAATTATCTATCGTGTCTATTGTGAAACTAAAGTCACTCCTGTCCACCTTGGCTATCATTTTCAATATTTACAATATTCTTTACAGCTGCAAGTAAACTGAGTATGAGGGCAGGAAAAATGTTTATGAAACTGACTTAGAGTCATCGAATTCAGAATTGGGGGGGGGGGCTATGAAATATGTTGCCTCAATAAGGGGGGGGGGGGTGATAAAATGATTTTGTTAGAAAAATCCTTAAGGGTCTTGATTCTCATCACCGCCCGACTGTATTTTAACTTTTTAAGAGCCGCATGAAATTTTTTTTATTTTGTTATACAATATAAATGTACCGCCCGACTAAATATTTCAAGACAGTTAAGTTTTTTATATTTTATATTGGGTTTTTATTGCCATTTTAAACTGCCAATTTCAAACAAATAGAACCTCAAAAGAAAACTTTGCATTCAGACATTCAGTTCAAGGGCCAGTCATTGTTCGTGGAGAAATGTTTATTTCAGTTTGTGACACTTTTATTTATTGATATATATTAAATTATATAAATATAAAATATAAACCTCCTGCCTCTTCGACATTTTCAAAGTGTAGTGATGAGAATCAAGGAATTTATTTTATGTGGCCTAAGAACCAAAAAATTAAAAAACTTATACAGTGTTAAAATACCAACTAATAGCTATGAAAAGATTATTTTGAAGTTAATCTTGACTTAAAGATATATGGTCGAAAATACATATTAATTTTATACCAACCATATCAGAACATGATTGCATAATTTTATTTAGCATTCTTTGTCCTTGCCGTCTCCATCGCTCTTTTATGGCATCTTCTAAACAGCACTGCTCCCCTTCATGCGTGCAGTTATAGTGCTGCTCAAGTTTTTTATACCATTTATTGGAATTGGCACAAGTAGGATGAGTACAAGGAAACAAGGTATATTGTTTACTTTCGTTGTACTCATCATAGTCCGCCATATTGGATTGTGAAATCGGCTAGGCTTTTACCGCGCGTTCATCTCTGTGACGTCATGAAACCAAAGCAACCGCGCTGGAAAAAGCCTAGTGTCTAGGCTGGCTAGTTCCATTTATGAATATTAAAGGTCCATAAACATTGCTATTTGTTAAGTTGTTTTGTGATACATTTTTAAAACTACTAATCTTTTTTCAAATTGGTAAATCTTTTCAAAGCCCCCCTTCTTTCATCTCTCTGTATTTTTCAAAGGCCCCCCTTTCAGGTTTTAAAAAATTTAAAGGCCCCCCAGTTTCTCCTCAATCTCCCCCTGTACAATAAATAATTTGGTAACAGAACAATTTGGTAAATCATTTATGTAAATTAACTAGGGATCCAAGGATAGTGTGAAGTTTCAAATTGAAAAAGACACTGCCAGAACTATATAGGGTCGCTGACAACCTAGAAAAGCTGATGGCTTACACTACAAAATAAACAGTTACCAAAGGCATTTCATCTCATTATTTATTGCTTTTAATATGCTCAGCACACGAGTAGCGTGACATTTGAAACAAACCTAACACACCAGAAACATGCCTTGTGAAACTGATGCAATTTATCTATTTATTGTGATGCTACACAAGACAATTCAAAATTTAAATTGTTTCACCAACAACCAAAATTTGCATATTCTAAATTTTCATTTGCATTTGCAGCTGTCGCTAAAAGCATCCCCACAAGGCTACTGCTATGCTAAATTTATCTAAAACTATATTGAAATAGCTGTATAAGATACGGTATGTTATGAATAATAAGCACTACGTCGTTACATCATTAAACGGACGCATTTTATCCTCATCCGTTCCGTATTTTCCGTGGATCCGCTCCATCCGCTTCCAAATTTTAACCTAATTGTAACATGTTTCACAATAACAAGTCTCATTGACCGTTGACTTTTCCCAGTGTCACGTCTATTTTCAGCTTTTCACATGTGTTGAATGTCACTTTACTTTAGATTTCAATAGTTTCACAGTTAAGCAGTGTTTAAAGCAGTTTTGACAAGCTTTGAACAGTTCTGTGTACAGAATACTACAGATTGACTCTCATAAGATCTGGTAGAGTTATCGTTGCACTGAACAAGAGTTTGCACCGTTGACAACGGTGTTGTGCTGGACAGTAAACAAAGACAAGGTCCGTGACAGTACACATTGGCTACATGTACCTCCTTGCTTTTTGCTTCTATTGCATAAAGCTTGTTGGCGAGCCAAGCGATTGCCGATAACACGTTGGCGACAACACGTTGGCGACAACACATTGGATATCTCCTCGTCTTTCTTATTTAAATAAGGAGCTAGCACTGAACTGATTTTTTTAGTCTTGCAAGTTATTTTCTTCGTAAACGCCGTACAAACGTTTACCCGCTTCTGTTTAATAGATTTACTCAATATTCATGTCTGAAATGTTTATACATTTGAAAACAACACTGTCGCTCCTACCTAGCATTGTGATCTACGGCTTCATAGTGCATGCACATTTGTGCTGCTATAGAGAAAATCGGGTGTTGCGGGGGAAAGATCCTTTACACAACATGAGAAGCGAATGTTTTAAAATTTTTGTAAATTTACAATAACGACAACGATTCCTCGAAAAATTTTTGTGAACTTGGCAAAAGGACAAAACAATATTTAAAGAAAATAAATAAAATTGCTTAAGTAACCTTCAAAGCACTAAGTACAATAAATCACTGCGAACATAAATCGTATACACCCCCTGAAAAGTTTACTCTATGACTGACTGAATGACTGACTGATTCGTGTGAATTCGCCAGCCATCAAAACAGTGTGAAGTGAAACTTCACACTAAAAATAGTAATGGTCCCAATGTGCTACCTTCCACAGATCATTGTTTGCTTTGGAGATTCATATGTTCCCCTAGTTTTACATATTGTTGGCAATTTGAAAGTTGACTATTGAACAATTTCAAAGGAAATCCTCGAATTCCATATGATTCTAACTTACTGATGGGTGTCTCGTGATTTACAGTGTCAAAAGCTTTCGAAATATCAAGAAACACTCCACAAGTATATAACCCGAGCCAGGGAAATGAAAGCATTAGCAAATCATCAATTATCGCGGGTGTGGGTGACCAATGATGGGTGGCCATCCTCACTGATCTCAAAAATATGGCAGACTGTCATGAATAGCAGACACTGATTGGTCCAATTTAAAGTTTGCATTATAACAACTGCATGATGACAGCAAAATAGCAAACATTTCTTGATTTGATGATTGATAAATTTCTTGCAAATATATTTAATTCCTCCTCGCATTTTTGCAAGATTTTGTACATTTCAAGAAAGAAAGGGCGTTTCGTTTAAAACTTTTTGCGAAACCTTTGTGGTTGAAGCTTATATTACGTATAATAACATATCCAACATCTATATGTTGGGAAATTGATAATTTTGTAATTAAAAGTGATATTTTTAGGCAATTTTTTATTTGTAAGAATATTCTTAAAAAATTATCGTGTTACCATGACAACTACTTTAGATACTTCATGTTCGGAAAATACAATGGTTTTGTCAGCAAGGCGAGGGTTTCTGCATGCATGTATTTTCTAGTTTATTGTCCATGACTTTTCTAAGGTTTTCAGTAATTTTGGTTATTGCTTGGGCAGTAGAACGACCTTTCCGAAAACCAAATTGAAATTGAAATTGAAAACGAATATCTTTCCTTTCAATATATCCGATAAGTTGTTTGTATATTAATTTTTCAAATATTTGTGTTATAGTCGATACCGTTGATATTGGACGAAAATTTGCAGGGTTAACAGGTGTTACTTTAGATATTTTTAAATTATCAGGGACAAT